TCGATATGAAATCATTAAATCTATTGATCTTAGATATTGCCGTGATAACAAATATTATTTATACTTTTATAGCCCTTAGCACACGAGAAGGTTAGATTAAACATAATAACAATTTTCGTATTAATTTTGTAATTTTTAAGAAAAAAAGTCATCCGACAATGTCTGTGCATTAATAGTAGTCGATGTCCAAAATTGTTTTATTACCGGAAATCTTGCTTTGTCTCACGGTCCCGCTCATCAGAATGGTGCCGAAGTTGTCCCTATCATCAATCATTTAATACAAACAATTCCCTTTGATTTAGTCGTATATACATATGACTGGCATCCACCAAATCATATTTCATTTTTTGAAAATCTCAAATCACGTCGAAAATATTTGAAAGATAAAAAAGTTCGAAAGATAAAAATGTTTGATGAAGTTACATACACTGGTCCAAAATTAAAAACAAAACAAGTTCTATGGCCCACACATTGCGTACAAGGGACAGAGGATGCTGCTCTACATAAAAATCTCTATGTTCCATCAACCAACAACAAAGTAATACATATTACAAAAGGTACCGATCCTGACATTGATAGTTATTCAGCATTTATGGATAATAGAGGTGTTAGAAAAACCGAGTTCGATGACAAGCTTCGAGAACATAATGTTAAACATGTGTTTCTTGCTGGATTAGCAACGGATTATTGTGTATCAGCAACAGCTTTTGATGCATTCAATTTGAACTATAACACATACATCATCGAAGATGCTACAAGAGGTATCGATACACAAACAATCAAAACCAAACTTAATCATCTGAAGCAGTTGGGAGTGAAAATTATTCAGACCAATCAAGTCAAAAGAATAATATCTACTTACCAAAAATGACGATATTTATATGACATATCACTGATCTTGCTTTCTTTCTTTCCTATTATCTTATCGAATTACCGATGGACGATTCAAATAGTCTATGTTTTATATATCTTATCTAGATCCTAGTAGATTCTACTAGACTCTAGAAGACCCTACTAGATCCTAATAAACGCTAGTAGATTCTTGTAGACTCTACTAGATAATAATAAAATTTTTTTATAATTATATGGATACATTTCTATAAATACATATAGAAGTTTTGAATTATTTTGAAATTCATTTATTTGATTAACTCCCAACCATTGATGTTTCTCTTATTCCTCTCTCCTTTTTACGATCTTCTATTAATCCTCTGTTGAATTCGAATCAGACACATTTTAGACATATACATATGCCCAATAAACATCATGTATTGAACAAAGGTCGAAGTAGTTCTTCACTTCTTTATACATTGGACAAGTGGAGTGCTTCTTTTTCGTAATCACTTCCAGAAAATACAAAAAAAATGTGTAATAACTAGGATAATTTCTTATTCCATGAGTAAACTTTAACTAATTAAAAGAAAATAGCTTATTGTTTCTGTTGAAAGAATCATGAAACAAAGTTATCAAGACAATTTTTCATGAGCTAAAATAAAAAATCACGAGTTGG